CGCCTGGCGAGGGCACCTGGGGTTCGCCGTCCATGAGAACCTCGCTGACAGGAGAAGGGGGGCGAATACGCGCGAAGAGGTTTCTCCCGACGAGCCAGCGGATGGCTTCGCTGCCCTGCGTCTGGATAGTTGTTCCGTGGTCTCCCTGCTGGGTGCGTGGCGCTCCCGGAGGGCTGCTGACGGACTGATTGTTCTGAGGGGGATATTCCGCGGCTTCCGCGGCCTCCGCCGTCTCCGCCGTGACTTCCCACTCCTTTCCTCTGCCCTGCTGGCGCTGCTGAAGGGGGGGGGGGGGTTGTTAGTGTGAGCTGCGCGCTGATCACTGCAAGCTACCGCCTCTCGATTTCCCAACGGGACGTCATCGTCTGACCACGATGCGGGGGGTGGTGTCGTGATGCAGCTCTCTTGAACCTCATCGACGGCGACCTCCTCCGCCTCGTCTACCTCATCTACCGCCTCTCGATTCCCCTCTGGGACGTCATCATCTGCCAACGAGGCGGGGGGTGGTATGCTGCTGCTGCTGCTGCTGCTATGTTCCGAGAAATCGTTGTGAGTATCGAGATCTCTCGCGTCAGCGCCAGGCGCCACGATCTGTGCCCAGACAGCGGCAGGAACCTTCGGGAGCGCAGTGTCTTCTTGGGTGCCCTCTGGTGTGCCGCTGTCTTGGGCTCCAGCTGCACGACCACCATCTTGCTCAGCAGCGCCATTGTCTGCTGTCACTGCCAAAGCCCGCCCTTCTCGCACCAGCTGTTCAGGATGCGGTAGGTGATGATGTTGGGCTCCGGCTGCAAGGCCACCATCTCGCTCAGCAGCGCCACAGTCTGCAATCACTGCCGACGACTGCTCTTCTCGCACGCGCTGTTCACAGTGACGCATGTGGTGATGTTGGGCTCCAGCTCCGCGAACAGGATCTCGTTCAGCAACGCCATTGCCTGCTGCCACTGCCAGCGTCCGCCTTTCTCGCACGGCCTGTTCAGGATGCCGTAGGCGATGATGTTGGGCTCCAGCTGCGCGACCCGGGTCTCGCTCAGCAGCGCCATAACCTGCTGCCGCTGCTGACCTCTGCTCTTCTCGCACGCGCTGCTCACGGTGCAGTAGGTGATGATAAGGGGCTCCAGCTTCACGACCTGGATCTTGATCAACAATGCCGCAGACTGCTGCCACTGCCAACGCCTGCTCTTCTCGCACGCGCTGTTCGCAGTGACGTAGGTGGTGATGATGTTGGGCTCCAGCTTCACGGCCACAATCTCGCCCAGCAGCGCCACAACCTGCTGCCACTGCTGACGCTTGCTCTTCTCGCACGCGCTCTTCACAGTGTCGTAGGTGATGATGTTGGGCTTCAGCCTCGCGGTCGCAATCTCGCCCAGCAGCGCCACAACGAGCTGCCACTGCTGCCGCCTGCTCTTCTTGCACGCGCTCTTCGCAGTGCCGTTGGTGATGATGGTGGGCTCCAGCTTCGCGGCCACCATCTCGCCCGGCAGCAGCACTGCCTGCTGCCACTACCGACGCCTGCTCTTCTCGCACGCGCTGTTCACCGTGCCAGAATTGATGAACATGGGCTTCAGCTTCACGACCGGGGTCTCGATTAGCAGCGCCACAACCTGTTGCCGCTGCCAACACCTGCTCCTCTCGCACACGCTGTTCACAGTGCCGCACGTGATGATGTTGGGCTCCAGCTTCACGACCAGGGTCTCGCCCATCAGCGCCACGGCCAGCTGTCACCAGCTGTTCAGGATGACGTGGGTGATGACGATGGGCGCCAGCTTCACGATCAGCGGCCGCCGCCAGCGGCCCGCCAGCGGCGGCCGTGGCGGCGGCGGCAGCGGCGGCCGCGTCGGGCGCATCGGCGGGCGCGGCGGCACCCGCGGCCGCGGCAGCCACAGCGGCGGCCGCCGCGGCAGGCCCCAGCGCAGACGCGCGCGCCACAGCGCCGGCGGCCGCGGCGGCCTCGCCGCGGCCGGCCGCCGCCACGGCCGCGGCGGCGCGGCGGCGGCGGCGGCCGGCCGCGCGGCGGCGGCGCCGGCCACGCCGAGGCCGACAGGGGCCACGCTGGGCCGCGGCGGCAGCAGGCCGGCCGGGCCGGCCGCGGCGGCGGCGCAGCAGGCGGCGGCGCGCCGCTGCCGCCGCCGCCGCGCCGAGCGCGACTCCATGGCCGAGCGAGCGGGGGCGCGGAGGGGGGCGACCCCCTCGCACGCCCCCGCGGGCGGGGAGGCCGAGGACCGAGGGGGGGGGCCCGGCCAGCCGCAGAGGCCCGCTTGAGCCAAGGCTTGAGCCAAGGCTTGAGCCAGGCTTGAGCCAAGGCTACGGATAGGGGCTGGCATACGCGCCGCCCCATTCTTTGATCGATGGCGCCCAAGATGGCCCCAAGAGGCTTCTCAAGGAGCCTTAGAGGGCCCGAAGAGAACCCCAAGAGGGCCCCAAGAGAGCTAAGAGAATCCGAACGGTGTCCAACATTGCCCTAATATGGCTCCAAGAGGCTCTCCGAGGCCTCTAGATTCACCATTGGTGGCGTAAGTGCTTCACTACACGCTTGCACTTGCAACTCCCCTGTGCAGCGTTTCTGGATAGGCTGGTGGGGATACTTTTTTTGGTCGCGGGCGGACGCGGATCCGCAGTCGCCGAGCTGAGAGGTCTCTGGTGGGGATACGCGAAGCGTCAGTAGTTGTCTCGGCCCACGGTTACCTTATGGATTCCGAAGCAGCCAGCTTGACAGAAGGATTCACGAACGTCGTTTGTGTCACGAGTGTACGCATCTGTATTGTCGCGCATGCCCAAAGACCCCTGGGAACCTTCTGGACTGATCTGCTTCAGAACCCCAACAAGCCAACAAACGATACATCGTACTCGTGGCTGCTTACCCTCGGGCGGGATGCGTGCTCCGCAACGCAAGCAAGGCGGAATCGTCTGCTGTCCTTCAACGGACCTCGCACGAAGGCCATACGCAATAACACTCAAAAGCGACTGTGTGGCCAAATATGCGGCAGCCTCGAAGCGTGAGCTGACCAACGTCACCGTTTTTTATGCTGAACTAAGGTGGGGGGGGGTAATGGAGGAGCTTGAGCTGTTTGCCCAGATCTCTTTCACATCCCCGTCGCCTTGGTACTGCACTTGGGACGGCGGGGCTAAGTACGTGGACGGCGAAACACGCAACCAGAGCTGCGTGCGAAATCTGGGAGTCACTATGCGGAGCTGGCTACCTCAGCGGCCTCAGCGACCGTTCGTAGTGTTAGGAGAATGTCTCTGTTTGCGCTCTGGGCCATACCGCGTGTTATGCCCCCCCCCTCCCCCCTCTTCCCCCAATGACCTAACGCTCCCCCCCTCCCCTGTTGCGTCCCCGACACTGCCGCAGTGCGTCCGGTACCACATTCTGTGGTGCCAGATCCACACGGCGAGGGTGGGGGGCGTTACGTCGTTATGCCCCTCCCCCCCTTCCCCCCCCCCCCTCGCCCCACCTAACGCCCATTATGGCCGCGAATCGACTTTTTGTCATCAGCGGACGAAGCAAGGGAGGAGATCACCCTGCGCGGGAAGAGACCATTCCGAACCCAAAAGCACAGCTGCGGCGGCACTTGCGGATCACCCTGCAATGTCTACGCCGAGCGCTGGAAGGATCTTTTGGCAAAACTGCGCCTGTCACGGTTTACGCTGGCGGGTCATTCAGGCCAACCGGACAAAACACCACATGTTTTTGCAATAGTCTTAGGTCAAAACCGGCGTCTGTCATAATTTCTGCCGCCAGCTTATCGCCGCGAATAGAAAGATGCTCTCGAGGCATTGTGCTGTCGAGAGCGGTGCGTTGTGGACAGAGGCTAGTGTAGAGGTAGTGCGCGAAGCCTCCTCGTCCGAAAGGGGCTACTACCCGTCCTCCTTCTCCAGATCCTCCTGTTGTACTTAGCTTCTACCTCACGTGACCCCCCTGCTACTCTGTCCCTTTTTGACAATGGCACGAAAAGCTACGTCAGGGCTGCGCCTCAACTGCCCAGGCCTGGCGAGCTACAGCAAATACGGACGGCCGGAGCGGTGCACACTTTGAGCTCCGTTTGCTCAACTCTGGGCTCCAATATCAATATGTGATATCAAGGCCTGAGCCGACATGCTACGGACGCGGACGAGCGCACAAATCTGGGGATAAAAGCGGGGTCTGCAGGATCCCCCGATGGCGCAGCGAGTCCGGGAATTCCATGGGGTCCGGCTCCCCGCGACGGTCGGGGAATCTCGGGGGGCCCGGCACCTCCAGAATACAACAATGACGCAACGCTGACGGTCAAGAAAATTCCTCGAATGTGTGGTAACGTTCCGCGCGGCTCAGGAGAACGAGGAAGACGAGGAGGAAGAGGAGGGGGGCAGGGCGCAGAGCCTGGACTCACGCTGGGGGGCCAACATTGCCGCACATCCCTCCACCCCATCCTCCTCCTCCTCCTCCTCCTCCTCCTTCTCCTCCTCCTCCTCCTCCTCCTCCTCCTCCTCCTCCTCCTCCTCCTCCTCCTCCTCCTCCCTCCCGCACATCACTCCATCTCCTCGTCCTGTACGCCTCGTATTCCCCTCCGTGCTCGTCCTCCTCCTCCTCCTCCTCCTCCTCCTCCTCCTCCTCCTCCTCCTCCTCCTCCTCATCATCATCATCAATCATCATCATCATCATCATCATCATCATCATCATCATCATCATCGTCATCATCATCAGCAGCAGCATCATCATTATCATCATCGTCATCGTCATCGTCATCATCAGCAGCATCACCATCATCATCATCACCATCATCATCGTCATCATCATCATCAGCAGCATCACCATCATCATCATCATCATCATCATCACCATCGTCATCATCATCCTTGCTCCTTCTTCTCCTCCTCCTCCTCCTCTTCCTCCTCCTCCCTCCGATTCCTACTACCCCTGTCTCGTCCACGCCCTCCTCCTTCTCATTCAACCCGCGTCCTTCCATGTACGCTTCTTCTCTCCCCTGCCTGATCACATGCCCTCTTCGACTCAGCACGGCCGCCTTCATCACAACGAAGGGCGCCTGAATGTCAGAGACCTTCTCCCAAGCCTCCGCCACCTGCAAAGGCAGACCGAGGAGGCAGGACCCTGATGCGCCTGCCCCTGCAATGGCAAGTAAAACCTGGACGTGGCCGAAACCAAAAACACGACAACACCTCTGAAACGAGGCTGTCAACAACACGACGACCTCCTGTAAACTGACTGATATGAGGCCTCGGGGTGAGCATTGGGTAGCTCTAGCGGATGTGCGAGTTCGGTAGGAGCTGACACTTGGACAACTCGGCCCGAGGTGACGACGCTTACATCAACTTCATCATGTGGTGACAGACGCAGACGGGCACAATCAGTATCGTCATATATTCATACGCTTCGTGTCCGCATCGGGCATGAACCCTCGCCCTTCCCCTCCTTATCCTCGTTCTAATCATCCTTCTCCCTCCTCTCCCCCTCTCCCCATCTCCGTTCCCTATCGCCTACCCCCTCCACTCACCCCCCTCTCTTGCCCCACTACCCCTCCGAACGTTCCTCCGTCCCTAGGACACCATCCAGCTTTGCGATGCCCCCTCGAACCCTGTCCGAAATGTGAATTGCACGCGACGCATTGCGCACGTGCGGCGTCCGAACGGAGTAGATGATGATGACGATGATGATGGTGATGATGCTGATGATTATTATGATGGTGATGCTGCTGATGATGATAATTATGACAATGATGGTGACGACGATGATGACGATGATGACGATGACGATGATGCTGATGCTGATGAGGATGATGAGGATGATGGTGGTGATGATGATGATGATGATGATGATGATGATGATGATGATACCGGTGGTGGTGGTGGTGGTGATGATGACGCTGATGATGACTATGACGAGGATGACGATGACGAGTTGACGAAGAGGAGGAGGATGAGGAGGAGGAACAGAAAGGAGGAAGAAAGGATAACATAGCGACATATAGGAAAGGAGTGACAACAGAGGAATGAGGGAGACACGGAGGGAGGAGGCGCAAGGAGGGATAAAGGTGGGTGGAGGAGACAGGAGGAAGATGATGAGGATGATGATGATGATGATGATGATGATGATGAGGAGGAGGAGGAGGAGGAGGAGGAGGAGGAGGAGGAGGAGGAGGAGTGTGGCGGCTTCCTCTAGTACATTATTTCCTGGCTGGCCCCGCCTACTCGGCTCGGCCCTGCAGGAGGTGGAGGACATGGTGCTTTTTTGGTTCAAGTATCGCGCTCCGCGATGTGCGACGCGCGGCAATCTTCGCGCCCTCGCGCTGCACCCTGAAGAAGGGCAGCCCAACGGCCCGAACCGCGACGCGCGAAGCGAGATCATCTCCGCGCCCCTGGGGGTGACCCAGGTACGCGGACAGGGCCACGGGGCCGCCAGGCCGCCAAGCGATGATGGGTCGTTATGTGGACAAGGGCTTTCTTCTCCTGTTCCCTCTCCTCCTCCTCCTCCTCATCCTCCTCCTCCTTCTCATGTATTCCTTCCCGACGCCATCGAAGCACGCGAGCCGCAGCGAGGCACTCCTTTTTTATAAAAAAAGACCAATGCAAACCCAAGACCCACCAACGATGTTACAATAAAGCGTCTTTCTAAGTTCCCTCTCCCCGAGCCCCTTATTAGGATTTACTTGCACTCAGGGAAAATTGCATTGGAAGATAATCGTCTGAACATCCTGAACCGTGCCAAAACATCATCCCTGGGACTTCGACGCCGCGAATCACTGTTACTGTTGCGTCCTGACGAACCTGAATCTTGCCAGAAAAATATTCTTGGGACTTCAACGCCACGAATCAACGTGACTGTTGCACCCGGAAAATAATACATCGTGTCCAAACACCGTTTCTAAAACTCCAACCACGAGAATCCTTGAACATGCTGCAACATTTTACAATGAGTATGCGCGGCGCGGAGGCGAGAACCACATTTTGAATACGACCTGTCCTCCAGCCGCTGATCTCTTGCAACTTCTCAATCCAAACAATGGATGCGCGCGATGCTGCGGCGAAAACCACATTTTGAAAACGACCTGCCCTCCATCCGCGAAGCTCTTGCAAACTTTAGAAAAGAATGTGCGCAGTGCTGAGGCGAGAGCCACCTATTGAAAACGGCCCGCCCTCCATCCGTGGAACAGCTGCAAACTTTTAGGACGAATGCGCACGGCGTCAAAACGAAAACTACATTTTGAAAACGGCCCGCCCTCCATCCGTGATGTTGCCACAACTTTTCAACTTCAGGATCGTCAAGCGCGAGGAGGTCTCAGGCGACACGCCCGGCCCCCCTACCGGGGCGTCCCAGGGTGCGACAGAAAGGTTTGGCTTTAGAAGAAAAAGACTGGAAGAAGAAAAAAGAAAAGGAACGAGGACGGGCAGGAAAATCACGAGAAGGCGGCGGGCGAATGCAAACCCAAGACACATTAACGATTTTGCAATAACCCCCCCCCCCTCCAAGTTCCCTGCTCATAAGCCCCTGCAAGGATTCATTTTCACTGAAAGAAGTACCCCGTTGGAAAACAACCTTGTCAAAGTCCCAAGCGCGCCCGCGCCGCGCTCCTGGGACTTCAGCGCCGCGAATCCACGTTACTGATGCGTCTAGAGGGTCCTGAATCGTGCCAGGTCACCGTTCCTACAACCAAAACCGACCAAAAGGCAGAAACAACGCAAGGACGCAATTGCACCCTCAAAATCCGCGCGCCCTTCTGGACATGGCGCCATCATAGGCACCTTCTCGGGCGGGCAACGCAGCGGGGGCAAGGGCGCGAAAGAAGCCCTTACCTTCTCCGCGCCCCTAGGGGCGCCTCGCCCCGCGACCGACGCTGCGCGGGCCGAAGGGGCCAAAAAGCGCAAGGGGCCCCTGCCTTCTCCGCGCCCTGAGGGCGCCCCGTTCAGCGGCCGACGCGGCGCGTGCCAAAAGGGCAGGGGCGCGCAAAGGAACCCTGCCTCCTCCGCGCCCCTGGGGCGCCCCGCCCCGCGGCCGACGTCGCGCGGGCCCGAGGGGCAAGGAGGCGCGAAAGGGGCCTGCCATCTCTGCGCGTTTACGGGGTCTCCGCCTCGCGGCCATGAATCACCGTAACTGTCGCGCCCTGACAATCTGGGATCTTAACCGTGAGAATCCCGGAAACCGGCGTGAACTCTTAAAACGACTGCGCGCGGCGCTAAAGAAAGAGCCGCGTTTTGAAACCGATCCGCCCTCCACCAGTGAAGCTCTTACAATGTTCAGCAGCGAATTTTCTGCTCCTTCCAGCCTCGGGCAGAGTTGATGGGTTCAATGCAGGACCTTCTTCTGGGCCGCTTGCATCTTGGCAAGCTGTGGGAAACCAGGTGCCCGACCTTGCTGCGCTTTCCTCAATTGTCGCTTGCCGAAATGATTCAGCTGGGAAGCGCATACTTCGGCTATCTCCCTGACAGCTTGGGCGGCCGCGCCACGGGAAGGTGGGCAAACCGTGCTCCCGAATTCCTTGTGATAGGCCAAGGTGAGGGAGCTATGCAAGCAAGTCAATGCCATTCACTGCGCTCTTCGTGGGCACCAGAATCATCCCCTCAAACAAACCACGGTGGTAAGGGGTCGCTAGAAACTTATCCGCCAACTTGCATGGCGAACAACCTCCGCAGCAATGGCAGCGGACCTGGGAACCCATCCCCCAAACAGGCTGGCGGGCAGCCAGGAGCAGTTGGAGCTTGATCTCGCGCCTCTTGGGCTTCAAAACCGACTGTCTGGGCGCGCAAGTCCCGCCAGCTTCAATCGACGCCACTACACTGTGACCGAAGTGCTGGCGAACTTGGAAAGCAATCGCCCGGGCATGGGACCTGTTGTCTCTCACGGCAACAGAGACTCGAATAGTCGTTGCCCATTGGTTCGCTACTCGGCCAGCTAGTCGATCTTCCTTTGAACGAACCATTCAGAAGAAAAAACAAGGGGTCTGTTCCCAGGTCGCTGATGTCTTCAACTTTCCTGTGGCTCTCAACTTTGGCTAGCGCGACCCCCCTCGACAGGTGCTGGGCCAGCGAATCCTTGACGCTCTGCCGCGCATCGAGGTGGGGCTTCGGATAGATTCCGAGCCGAACTTCAATGTACTTCTCCACAACATACGTGGAATCCGCCCCAAAGAAACCGCCTGCAAAAGGGGGGCAGCTCTAGAACTGCAGGAAACTCAACGCTTCCCCCTGTTGGCCGACTGGCGCCATCCAGGCGCATTCCCAAAGCTCGCCGCGCGGGCCTGAAGCTCTCCGGGGTCATAGCGCCCCCCCAGCCCGGAGGCCTTTGAACGCAACCCGCGGCCAGGCAGCCCTACGGAGGGCAGGGTCCTGTGCGTCTGGCCCCTCACTAGCGTCGCCCCTATCCAAACAAAAAACCGCCCACCAAAGCCTCCCTTAGGTACCCCCCGCAGGTCTGGAACTCCTCGCCCTCGGGGGGGGGGGGCGCGGCGTTCCAGCTGCTCGGCGTCAGCCCTCGCGGCCAGAAGCTTGGATTACCCCCCCAATCAGCTAGGGCTCGCCTTCGCACGAAGTCCGAGGCCTTCGAGAAATCATTATTCTTCGGACAGCTCCAAGCACGGCGCGCGTCGCACTGCACCAGCTCCCCACATCTCTTACAGGAGCTGTCCTGGGCGAGACCACATTCTTGGAGCCTCGCGCGTGGCCGGCTGTTGCCAGTGGCCTCAGCCCGCAAGATCCCTCCCATTCGTGCTTGCCCTGCCTGGCCAGCGATCTCATCTGCAATTTCAAACCGCGCAAATCTGGAACTGGCTCAAGGCCTGACTCGTTCCACGAGTTGGCTGCAGCAGCGGCCCAGAGCAGGCGTTCCTTACTGTGGGCCAGAGCCTCGACAAGATCGGCGAGGTCAACCTTGCCTCGCCGGAGCCAGGTTTCTGAAATCGCGAACCGCTCACCCAGGTCACTCTCCCAGGCCCAGGGTCCCCAAGACTTCCAACCCGCATCCAGCAGAGTGGCCATCGCGGCAGCAACAGGGGTGCCCACGCTTCGCCATCTGTTTCCTGCTGGTTTGGATTCTAGCTCAGCTGCGACTCTACGCCACACTCGCCTCGTC